CGTGCATGTAGATGGAATGCGTGCATGTAGGTGGAATGCGTGCATGTAGGTGGAATGCGTGCATGTAGGTGGAATGCGTGCATGTAGATGGAATGCGTGCATGTAGATGGAATGCGTGCATGTAGATGGAATGCGTGCATGTAGATGGAATGCGTGCATGTAGGTGGAATGCGTGCATGTAGATGGAATGCGTGCATGTAGATGGAATGCGTGCATGTAGATGGAATGCGTGCATGTAGATGGAATGCGTGCATGTAGATGGAATGCGTGCATGTAGATGGAATGCGTGCATGTAGATGGAATGCGTGCATGTAGGTGGAATGCGTGCATGTAGATGGAATGCGTGCATGTAGATGGAATGCGTGCATGTAGATGGAATGCGTGCATGTAGATGGAATGCGTGCATGTAGATGGAATGCGTGCATGTAGATGGAATGCGTGCATGTAGGTGGAATGCGTGCATGTAGATGGAATGCGTGCATGTAGATGGAATGCGTGCATGTAGATGGAATGCGTGCATGTAGATGGAATGCGTGCATGTAGATGGAATGCGTGCATGTAGATGGAATGCGTGCATGTAGATGGAATGCGTGCATGTAGATGGAATGCGTGCATGTAGATGGAATGCGTGCATGTAGATGGAATGCGTGCATGTAGGTGGAATGCGTGCATGTAGGTGGAATGCGTGCATGTAGGTGGAATGCGTGCATGTAGGTGGAATGCGTGCATGTAGATGGAATGCGTGCATGTAGATGGAATGCGTGCATGTAGATGGAATGCGTGCATGTAGATGGAATGCGTGCATGTAGATGGAATGCGTGCATGTAGATGGAATGCGTGCATGTAGGTGGAATGCGTGCATGTAGATGGAATGCGTGCATGTAGATGGAATGCGTGCATGTAGATGGAATGCGTGCATGTAGATGGAATGCGTGCATGTAGGTGGAATGCGTGCATGTAGGTGGAATGCGTGCATGTAGGTGGAATGCGTGCATGTAGATGGAATGCGTGCATGTAGATGGAATGCGTGCATGTAGATGGAATGCGTGCATGTAGATGGAATGCGTGCATGTAGGTGGAATGCGTGCATGTAGATGGAATGCGTGCATGTAGATGGAATGCGTGCATGTAGATGGAATGCGTGCATGTAGATGGAATGCGTGCATGTAGATGGAATGCGTGCATGTAGATGGAATGCGTGCATGTAGATGGAATGCGTGCATGTAGGTGGAATGCGTGCATGTAGATGGAATGCGTGCATGTAGATGGAATGCGTGCATGTAGATGGAATGCGTGCATGTAGATGGAATGCGTGCATGTAGGTGGAATGCGTGCATGTAGATGGAATGCGTGCATGTAGATGGAATGCGTGCATGTAGATGGAATGCGTGCATGTAGATGGAATGCGTGCATGTAGATGGAATGCGTGCATGTAGATGGAATGCGTGCATGTAGATGGAATGCGTGCATGTAGGTGGAATGCGTGCATGTAGATGGAATGCGTGCATGTAGATGGAATGCGTGCATGTAGATGGAATGCGTGCATGTAGATGGAATGCGTGCATGTAGATGGAATGCGTGCATGTAGATGGAATGCGTGCATGTAGGTGGAATGCGTGCATGTAGATGGAATGCGTGCATGTAGGTGGAATGCGTGCATGTAGATGGAATGCGTGCATGTAGATGGAATGCGTGCATGTAGATGGAATGCGTGCATGTAGATGGAATGCGTGCATGTAGGTGGAATGCGTGCATGTAGATGGAATGCGTGCATGTAGGTGGAATGCGTGCATGTAGGTGGAATGCGTGCATGTAGGTGGAATGCGTGCATGTAGGTGGAATGCGTGCATGTAGATGGAATGCGTGCATGTAGATGGAATGCGTGCATGTAGATGGAATGCGTGCATGTAGGTGGAATGCGTGCATGTAGATGGAATGCGTGCATGTAGATGGAATGCGTGCATGTAGATGGAATGCGTGCATGTAGATGGAATGCGTGCATGTAGGTGGAATGCGTGCATGTAGATGGAATGCGTGCATGTAGATGGAATGCGTGCATGTAGATGGAATGCGTGCATGTAGATGGAATGCGTGCATGTAGATGGAATGCGTGCATGTAGATGGAATGCGTGCATGTAGATGGAATGCGTGCATGTAGATGGAATGCGTGCATGTAGATGGAATGCGTGCATGTAGATGGAATGCGTGCATGTAGATGGAATGCGTGCATGTAGATGGAATGCGTGCATGTAGATGGAATGCGTGCATGTAGATGGAATGCGTGCATGTAGGTGGAATGCGTGCATGTAGGTGGAATGCGTGCATGTAGGTGGAATGCGTGCATGTAGATGGAATGCGTGCATGTAGGTGGAATGCGTGCATGTAGGTGGAATGCGTGCATGTAGATGGAATGCGTGCATGTAGATGGAATGCGTGCATGTAGATGGAATGCGTGCATGTAGGTGGAATGCGTGCATGTCTCCGTACAGCCATGCATCCCTCCACGCGGCCCCCATGCACCTCAACATGCACCTCAACATGCACCTCAACATGCACCTCAACATGCACCTTCCAATAACACAAACCCCGCCCTCCCACACGCACAGGTGATAGACCACAAGCCGTACACGCGCAAGGTGGACGTGTACAGCTACGGCATCGTGCTGTGGGGAAAGTCACAATCCCCTTAACTCCCCTTCCTTCACTACTCCCTCCCTTCCCCATTCACACGCGCAGGTGATAGACCACAAGCCGTACACGCGGGGGGTGGACGTGTACAGCTTTGGCATCGTGCAGTGGGAGCTGGTGACTCAGAGACGTCTCCCCTCCTTCCAGTCACACAATCTCCCCTTTCCCTCGTGCAACTGTCATGGCCCCTCTTTGCAGGTGATAGACCACAAGCCGTACACGCGGCGGGTGGACGTGTACAGCTTTGGCATCGTGCTGTGGGAGACTAAAATCTCACTCTTCATTTCCCTATCCCTTTCCCCCTCCCCCGTGCAGGTGATAGACCACAAGCCATACACGCGGCGGGTGGACGTGTACAGCTTTGGCATCGTGCTGTGGGAGACTAAAATCTCACTCTTCATTTCCCTATCCCTTTCCCCCTCCCCCGTGCAGGTGATAGACCACAAGCCATACACGCGGCGGGTGGACGTGTACAGCTTTGGCATCGTGCTGTGGGAGCTGGTTACCAGCGACCTGCCGTTCAAGGGCCTCACCTTCATCCAACTCGCCTTCAACGTCGTCAATAAGGTGGGCGAGCGTGGGGTATTGAATCGTGCATGAATGGCGTCGTGAGGAGCCAAAGGGCTCACCCCGTCAAGGGCCTCACCTTCATCCAACTCGCCTTCAACGTCGTCAATAAGGTGGGCCAGCCTTACGTGCACACCTGTGTCAATAAGGTGGGCGACACATGGGCGGGCGGGGCAGAGCATAAATACTGGGTGCTCAGCTTTTGAGGCGCCTCAAAAGCTGCCGTGCAAGGGGCTCACCTTCATTCAACTCGCCTTCAACGTCGTTACCAAGGTGCACTGGGAAGGCGGGGAGAAACACTGGGCACGAAGGGAAGCATCCGCTTGCAAAGATGAATCATGAGAGCACGGATGGCAGAAAGAAGAAGAGAAGCAGGATTTAGAGAGTGGAAAGTTGAGAGTAGAAAGAATGCAGAATGCAGTTAGTGACGCTAAGGAGCACTGCAGCTTCCATCCACCCCCCACGCCTGCTTCCATCCCCTATCGCCATGCCCAATGCCATGCCAACGCCCATCCCCATTCCTATCCCCCATCCCTACCCACCGTTTTCCCTCCCTTAACTGACTGTCAAACCACCTCCCCTACATTACCTTCGTCTTCGCTTTCCTCTCCTATCCTTTCCTCCTCCCAATCTGTATCCCCTCTCCTTCCCTGTCCTCTCCTCCAAGTTTCCTTCACAAATTCCTTCTCCGCCCTCCTCCCCTTCCTCACCTCCCCTCCCAATCCAACAGAACATGCGGCCGGAGGTGCCAGCGGGGTGCGAGCCAGAATTAGCAGCGCTGATGGTGGAGTGTTGGGATGCGGACGCGGACAAGCGCCCTGAGTTCACGCAGGTGGTGGCGCGCCTGGAGGCGCTGCAGCAGGGGCTGGGAGGCACCATGGACGCGCAGGGTGGGTGCTGCACGCTGCTCTGACCCCTCCCTGTTCTCACTGCGCTTCTTTCTTGACGTGCGTACAAATTTCTCCGAGCCATGAGGTGAAACTTGAGGTGCTGTAAAAACTGGCTTCGGGCGGCACAATGGGTGCGACGGGAGGGTGCTGCTTTCAGCTGTGACTGGTCAGGGTTCGCCCATGCGGTAACACTGCCGTGCGGTTACATGTTGGGTTGTCAGGGGCATTGGCATGCCGTGCCACCATGGTGGCTCGCTGGTAGCACCGCGCTCTGTAGCACGCAGGGCTAGGTTTGACTGGGGTCGGGATGGGTTTAGATGGATTAGGGGGGGTGTCAATGTGTTTTGCTGCTCCGGTGTGAGCCCAGGAATCGGAGCAGTTTTCCCTGAGGCAGCCCCTCACAGCAGAAGCAGGCTGGCTCTGTGTGTGTTGCGCAACGTGTGTTGGTGGCAATCGGCAATCACCCCTCACTCCTCCATTGTTCATTCCTCCCAATGTTTTGTTATTGCTGTGTGTTGTCTGTTGAGCCAATAGTGAGTTGCCTACCGGCTACAATCCAATCCAGAGCACCAAGGCCTGTCCTCTTGATTGAACCACCCCTGTGCCTCACCCCCTTCCAGAAGAGGCCTCATGCACCATCCTCTAGGGCACATACGGTATTGTGCTGCAAGACCGTGATAACTCATGCCAATTTTGGCGCATGCATGATAACCCACATAACATGTGCACTATTTACGGAAGATGGTATTTGGTATACGATTTTAAGCAACAGCCATAACATTAGGGTTCACTGCAGACGTATCAACATAATTACACATACTGGTAGTGTGAATGAGCCAAGCTGGGCACTGTGCGTCAGGGTGTGGCATCAGGAACACGTGGACACTTGTCGGCCTCTGGTTGGGCCATGGAACCTGCCAGGCATGGGCGTGGGGAGAGCACACAGGAAAACCAACACACAGAGATAAGCGAGATAAAGGCGAGGCAGTCCAACAATGCCAGCATGCCTCCATGCGACCATGCCATCACGCCATGCATGCCAGCGTGCCAGCATGCCACCATGCCACCATGCCAGCGTGCCAGCATGCCAGCATGCCACCATGCCACCATGCCATCACGCCATGCATGTACTCACAGAGCGCGGCAAAGCAGGGCTGGGAGAGAGCGGGGTCCTCAGAGAGGGGAGGGGGCATCTGGCCGAACACCATCTCACAGCTCATGTCCTCAAAGTCTGCCCATGGGGGGTGGGAGAGTGGAGGGTGGGCAGTTAAAAATGGTTGGTGTGCGAGACCATGCTTGGGTGGGAGCAGGGCAGAGAGCAGCGGAGAGCGGAGAAGAGGGAAGGGAGGCGTGCAGTGAGGGAGATCAACCGGAACTGAAAAGCAAGGCAGTGCAGCTTGCAGTCGAGCAGTGGTAAGCTTTCAAGAATAGTCAGCCGCAGTGTCAGTGGTGCTAGGGTGGGACGTACTGGGTGTCATGGTGAGGGACGTACTGGGTGTCATGGTGAGGGACGTACTGGGTGTCATGGTGAGGGACGTACTGGGTGTCATGGTGAGGGACGTACTGGGTGTCATGGTGAGGGGCAGGCCGAAGTCGTTGGTAAAGAAGTCCTGAGTGGGTAGCTTGCACATGTTGACGCACATGCCCACACACCCACTCACCTCCAGGTACCTGCACGCACCGCAATGGGGGAAGTGGGGAAAGAGAGTGCGTCAACTCAAATGTCCTGAATGGGTAGCTTGCACATATTCACACACATGCCCACACACCCACTCACCTCCAGGTACCTGCATGGGGAAGTAGGAAAGGTGGGGAGGGGAGTGAGGGGAGAATGGGGGATGGCAGAGCAGAACGTGTGGCGCATACAGGAGGGATACAGACAAGAAGGGCGGGTGACACTGGCAAGTATGGCAGCTGGTAGGTCGGCTTGACGGCCTAAGTTTGAGTGCCCTGTGAGTTCACCATGGGAATCGGCTGGCAACAGCGAGGTACAGCTGGGCACAAAGAGAGACAGCAAGGGAAGAGGTGGGCAGGGTGGGCAGAGGTGGGCAGAGGTGGGCAGGCAGAGGTGGGCAGAGGTGGGAAGAGGTGGGAAGAGGTGGGGAGGAGTTTGTCACCTGCACTTGGTGATCTGCACGCCGCTCATCTGCTTCTGCCCGTTCACCTCCACCTCCTTCAGCTGCCCCCGTGCAGCAGCAGCAGCAGCAGCAATGGGCAACAGCAGCAGCAGCAGCAGCAGCAGCAGCAGCAGCACAGAGGGCAGGGCGAGCGCACCGAGGGAGGGAAACGAGTGAAGAATGGGCAAGGCAGCATGAGAAGCGAGGGAGGGACAGCATCACTGACACGGCGTGGTGCATGGTGCAGAATGAGTGGCCTCTAATCTACGGCATTGCAGCGGTGAGACACATGGCATGGTGCATGGTGCAGCAAGAGTGGCATGGCATGCAAGGCGGGCGCAGGCGCACCTGGCAGGGCCACACGAGCCACTTAAAGCCGCACCTGGCAGGGCCCCACGACCACTTAAAGCCGGGCACTGTGATGGCCGCGTTGATCTCCGCTGACCACTTGCTGGGGGGGAACAGCTTGCGGAACTGGGGACGAGTGGCGTGGGGAGAGAGGGGGCGGGGGAGAAGGGGGTTGGGAAAGAGGTGGCGTGGGGAAGGGGGCGAGTGGGGCCGCATAACGGAATGAGGTGAAAAGAAATGGCGGATGCGGGGAGAGAGAGGAGAGCAGCGGGAACGGGCAGCGGTGCAGCAAGGGGGGGAAGCGTCAGAGTGGCGGGGGTAGGGGAAGCAAGGAGCGGCGGGCAGTGAGAGGGAAGGGCGGCTGACAGTGGCGGGGGCGTTGGGCGGGCGGCAGCAGCAGCGACATGAGGACATTGGCCACCACGGCACGCTGCCGTGCACGCTGCTCTGCACGCTGCTCTGCCGCTGACCGCCCTGCCTGCATGTAGCAGTGAGGGGAGGAGGGGTGCTCTCACAGTGGCGGGGGCGTTGGGTGGCAGCAGCGACATGAGCACGTTAGCCACGATGGCGCGCTGCTCCGCTGCTGACCGCCCCTGCATCACCCGCCGCGACACCTCCACGAACGCCTCGTACCCGCCCTTCCTCGTCGCCACCTCTGATGGCCCCCGCGCCGCCGGGACGTCATGTCGTCATGCCGCCATGCCGCCATGCCATGAAGCAGGGAGGGGAGCAAGAGGCACAGTTGGTCACACATTCAAGAAACAGCCATGCATCGTATAATTCAGCTGAGCACGACCAAACGTGTCGGTAACCACCACTCACCACTCATCACATCTCACCGCTTACGACTCTTATCAACGCTCACCACGTGTCACCGCTCACCACCGATTTGTTGCTCCATCTTGCGGCGGAAGAGCCCCATGAGCGCGAGGTCGATGGGCGAGTCGTTGTACCGCGTCACCTGCCCCATCGGCGCTGGCTCCCCGCCCGCCTCCGCCACGCCCGCGCGCACCTCCTGCACCGCGCGGCGCACCGCCCCGCGCGACCCGCGCATCACCCCTCGCGGGAGGAGCGGCTGGGAGGAGGCGCGGAAGGGCGAATGGCGTGAGGCGAGGCGGAGGGGCGGCGGGGAGAGCGCGGAGTGGCATAGTGGCGCAAGCGATGCCGCCATTGGCGGAGGCGGGGGGATGGGCGCTGGTGAGGCTGGGGAGAGAAATTAGCGAGCGCAGCGAACGCAGAGAATGCGGAATGTGCCTGTGCGCGCGCGTGTGTTTTTGCCGCGGAGACAGAACGGTGGTGTGGGAGCGCGCGACAGGTGGTGTCAGTGGTGCGGTGCGTGGCAGGGCAGAGCAGCGCGGCGGACTGGATTATGAAAGACTGGGCCGCTGCCACGCCAAAACAAACCAACCTGGAAGAGTTTGCTTCGCCTCGCCACAAACACGCTTCGTTTCGGTTGGAGGCGGCGAGTGGGAAGGAATGCTTGGCCTATATCAGAAGAAATGTGATTACAAATTGCCCACACACCTGCAAATCCCTGATCGTACAACATTGAGCGAAAATAATACGATGCACACGCCAAGCACGTCAGCGTAGCTGTGAGTCCGCGCGAAACGACGCGCTGCCAGCCGCGCACGGCTCACGGCGATGGCGCACGAATCTCTGCCCGCGACCTCCGCGCTTGCCGCTACTCACGGCGCGTCGTCCTCGCTGTGACTCGTCCCGCGCTCCCATCCACTCCGAAGCGCGCTCGACGGCTCGGGGCCATGCCCGCCTGCTCGTCCCGCGCCGCTGCCGCACTCGCCTCCGCCGCACCTGCGTACGTCGAGCCGCTCGCTCATCATGCGCTGCCGCCTGGGAAGCGCGACTGTCCCTCCGCCGCGCTGTTGCGGCGCTCCTTTGGCTGCCAGATACGGTCGTGTGGCGGCGATTGTCTGGCACACGACCGTAACCCTAACCACTCCATTCCTGAATGCGCGCCACGGCCACGTGGCAATGCGTCCTTACCTCCGTGTGCTCACGTTTCCTTCGTTCTCATTTTCCGTCATTATGCCCGCCCGTCCCTGTCCGCGCTGCCTCCCTTCCACCCGCCCGCGCCAGCAGCGCATTGGCGGCGGGTGACGATCGCAGCGCGTGCGCGGCGGAACTGTTGCGATTCCTGGAGGAGGTGAGTGTGGCGAGGTGTGACTATAATCAAATGAGTGAATGAGGTGCGATTATGAGGAGGTGAGTGAAGTGAATTGAAGATCCGCTGCTGCTGCCTCCGCCTGCTCCCCCGCTTTCTCTCCCTCCCTCCCCCGTCCCATCCGTCCGCCCTCATGTTCTCATGCGCCTGCCTGCCCCCCACCCCCCAACCGTGTCCCCCCAACCGTGTCCCCCCAACCGTGTCCCCCCAACCGTGCCCCCCCGCCCCACTCTCTTCAGGGCGGGGACGTATTCGACTTCCCCTTCTCCGCCCGCCTGCCCTCCCCCCTCCTGCTGCCGCTCTCCCCCGCCTCCTCCCCGTCCCCCTCTCCCCCACCCTCTGCGCCCACCCGGTTCGACCTTCCGCCGTGCCCCAGGTGCGCTCACACCCCTCATGCCCCAATCGTCCCCCAGGTGCGCAGCCCACTTGTGGTGAACTGTGGACTTTTAGAGAGCACTCCAACCATGCGCACTCCATTCACCCCCACGCCACACATGCACTCCTTTGGCTCTGCTTGCTAAGAGCCTCCTGTCCCTCCCTGCCTCTGCCGCACGCCCGCTTGCCTGTCTTCACTGCCCTGCCCTCTGCTCTGCTCCCTCCGTCCTCCCATGCCCCCTGCCGTGCCACCTGCCGTGCGCGCTGCCTGCAGCCCTGCCGCGGAGCATGCGAGGGAGGATGGTGGGGAGGACGAGACACAGGATGGCGGCGAAGCAGCAGCAACACTAGATGAGAGGGTGGTGGGGGAGCAACAGGGGAGGGAGGATGGGAATGGAGGAGGAGGAGGTGAAAGGGAGGGGGATGAGGAGGAGGAGGGGGAGGAGGAAGGGGAGAGGTGGCGTGCATGTGAGGTTGATGCTGATGTGGGTGGGGGGGAGGGGAGGAGCATTGGAGGAGCTTTGAGTGTTGATGCTGCTGACGCTGCTGATGCTGGTGTGAATGCTGATGCTCATGCGCATGCTGCTTCTGATGGGGTTTCTGATGACGATGATGGCACAGCTGACGTTGTGTGCATGGACACCGATGAAGATACCTGCACCGCAGCAGACCCCCCTCAACCCCTCAGCACCGCCACAAATGCAACCCCTCCCAGCAAGGGCGCGGGTGAGGAGGAGGAGGAGGGGGCGGGCGAGTGTGTGGTGGTGACACTGCAGGTGGGGGCGCCGCTACAAGCCATGCTGCACTCGCACTCGCACATGCTCGCCCGCCTGCACTCCGCCCTGCCCCCCCACGCCCCGCGCCCCCGCCCCCTCGCCTCCTCCCTCTCAGGCGCCCCCATCCCTGTCGAAGTCACCCTCCCCGCCAGCCCCCCTGGTGGTTCCGCGCAGGGGGAGCTGGGGGAGGGGGAGCGGGGAGAGGGGGGAGGAGGTGGGGCGGGCGGAAGCAGGGGTGGCGGGCAGGGGGCGGAAGAGGTGAGGGGTCAAGGGGAGGGAAGGGGGGATGGGTGGCGGTCGGGCGTTGGGGGGATGGAGCGAGGTAGGAAGAGGGGGAGGGAAGGGGAGGGGGGGGAGGGCGAGAGCAGTCGCACGTACGAGGCGGGGCTTGCCCACTCACAGGCGCACACGGTGCCTGCTGGGGAGGCAGGTGGCGCATCAGAAATGCACAGGGAGATGGGAGCTGGCACTGGTGGTGCCGGCAGTGGCAATGCCGGGGGCAGCGGCTGTGGTAGCGGGAGTGGTAGCGGCGGTGGCAGTGGCAGGGGTAGGGCAGGAGGGGGAGGCGAACCAGGCGGGCAGAAGAGCAGGGAGGGCGAAGTGAGGGCAGGTAGCAGCAGCAGCGGCCATGAGAGGCAGGCAGGGCAGCAGCAGCAGTGGCAGCACTACCACGCACCGACAGCATCCAGAGACCCCCTCAGGTTGCTGCTCACAGAGCAGCGTGCCCCCTCGCCCATCCCCCACGCGCCCCTCTCCCACGTGCCCGTGCCCATCCCCATGCCCGACCCCTCCTCTGTGCCCATCCCCACCGTCTCCTCCTCCTCCGCCCTCGCCGCTTCGCCCTCCGCCCTCGCCCCCTCGCTTCCCTCCCTGCCCTCGCTGCCCTCCCTCGCCTCGCTCTCCTCTCTCCTGCCTGATTCTCTGGAGGGAGCGCGAGGAGACGCGTGGGGGGAAGGGGTTGGGGCAGGGGGGAGTGGCAGTGGAAGGAGGGGGGAGGCTGTAGCAGGGGCAGGAGGAGGAGCGGGCGAGGGGGGGCGTGGGGGAGCGGGAGTGACTGGGCGGGCAGCAGTAGGGGGGACAGGGTGGAGTGGGTGGGGCGGAGGGGGAGGAGGGGCGGACGGGGTTGCAACGTCTGTGGCGGGTGTGGGGAGGGGCGGGGAGGCGGGGGAGTGGGTGGCGAGGCACGTGTGGGAGGGGAGGCGGGCGGAGGAGGAGGAGGGGCGGAGGCGGGGCGAGCTGGCAGCAGCGGCAGCGAGGGCGCATGAGGAGTGCGTGCTGGAGGAGGCTGACGGCATCTGGGTGAGTGAGCTGAGCTGGGAGGGCGGTGCTGTGAGAAGGGAGAGGGACAGGGCGTGGTGTGGTGTGCTGACTTTTGAGTCGACTCAAAAGGCAGCGCGGGCGCATGAGGAGTGCGTGCTGGAGGAGGCTGACGGCATCTGGGTGAGTGGGGGGGCAGTGCCGTTTGTGGGTCAGGGGTCGGGTGTGTTGTGGTAGGTACAGGGCGTGGTAAGACAGTGAGAGAGGGTGGCTACCCAACCACCTACTCCGCTGCAGCACAGGCCCCGACAGGACACGCACACACAACCAGCTAGCTTTTGCCGTGGCTAAAATGGCAAGGGAAGCACAGCTGGTGGTATACCTGGAGAACGCCATGTACTCACCGCCGGATGACCCGAAGAAAGCCGATGTGATTGTACGCGACCCGGACAGTGGAGAGACTTGGATCACAGACACCACTGTCACAGACCCCGTGCTGCAGAACCGGGACCCCACAGCCCGCAAACCCCCAGGCTGGGCTGCTAGAGAGGCACAGAGGCGGAAGGAGAGGGAGTACTACCGACACACGGAACACGTGGTGTTCTGCGCCCTAGCCGTCGAGACCTACGGGGCAAACGCGCCCACCACGACTGCGTTCCTGAAGCTGCTGGCCACAGCAGCAGCTAGGAACCGGTTCAGGGCCAACCCCCTGGCGAAATCGGCCAAGAAGATGGCCTGCCACTTCAGCCAGCGCTGGTCAGTGGCCCTCCAGCGCTCCCAGGCTAATGCCCTGCACACCAAGGCCAGGGCTGGGATCGAGGCAGCGCACCCCCAGATGGCAGCGGACCCCTGGCCGCTGCACCTGGGGGACATCCTCCACACGCTGGAGGGCTAGAGGGTCACTCAGGGGGGGGGGTGAAGAGTGGTAAGTTTTGGGGCTTAAGGGATAGAGGTTATCATGGATAGCACCGCATGTTTGTACCCCTGCTGAATTAATACAAAGGACCGTTTGAGAGAGGGTGGTGGGGCAGTGACACATACTTACCCATTCTCCTCCACTCTCTCCGCCCCCCACCTCCCCCTTCCTCAGGCCAACCGTCGCCTGCTCACTGCAGCTTCCCCTGCTGCCACCACTGCTGCTGCTGCTGCTGCTGGCGGCACTGGCAGCACAGAGGCAGGCATAGGGGGCGCATGGAGGGAGATGGGGATGGGCGAGGAGGGCGGGGCAGAGAAGGGAGACGCATGGAGGGTGCGGGCGGGGGGCAGCAGCCAGTGGGACTATGTGCTGCAGGAGATGGCATGGCTCGCCCTTGATTTCCAACAGGTGCTGCCCTGCACCCTCACTACCTCATTCCCTCGCCCGCCCCACCTGTGCGCTCCTTCCACCTTCGTCTTTGCTTCTCCCTGGGCCTCCTTGTCTCTCCTGTCCTCTCCTCCACACTCACAAGTGTACTTTCTGCTGCCTCTAGCCACTCTGACTCACACCCATCTCTTCCCTCTCGTTCCTCTTCTTTGCCCTCATATTGCCTGCACCCTGCGCCCCACCCTTCCCTGCACCCGCACCTCCTTGCACCCCACCCCACCCCACTCCATCCATCCCAACCTACCCTACCCATCCCACCCCACCCCACCCCATTCCACCCGACCCCACCCCACCCCGCTCTGCGTGGGTGGCAGGAGCGGCTGTGGAAGAGAGCAGCGGCGAGCCACCTAGCCACTTGTGCGCAAAGGGCAGGCTGGGGGAGGGCGGATGGTGCAGGCGAGGGGAGGGCGGGGCTTGAGCCGATGCATGACCGAGCAGGGGAGGAGGAGAGGAGAGGGGAGGGAAGAGACAAGGGAAGAGAGGAGGGAATTAAGGCAGGTTCAAAAGCCTGTGGTGCTGCTGCTGCTGCGGCTGGCCCTGTGTCGACAGGAGGAGGCGAGGCCAAAGCAGGCAATGGTGGTGGGGAGGGGAAGCGCAGGCGAGAGGATGGCACGCATGGGGACGTGGAGGGGAAGGGCGCGGGGAGGAAGGCGAGAGTGCAAGTGGATGTGACAGGGGGAGGGGCTGACAGAGGGGCAGCGGAAAGAGGCGCAGAGGGGCGACGGGCGGAGGGGGAAGGGGGCATGGAGGGAGGGGCAGAGGGTGGAGGGGGCGCAGCAGAGGGAGGGGCGAGTGCACCGGTGACGCCGGAGAGGGAGGAGGGCCGAGGGACGGACATGAGCTGCAGCGACTGGTGGTCGTGGGTGGACGAGGTGAAAGGCGCGGTGAAAGGGGGGGGGAGTGAGGAGTGGGAGGTGAGGGGCGAGGTGAGGGGCGAGGTGAGGGGCGCGGTGAGGGGCGAGGTGATGAAGGGGTGATGGGTGAGTGAGGTGCGAGTGGGCGAGGGGTTGAGGGGGTGAGGGAAGTGTGTTGCAGTGCGTTTCCGCTGGTCTTGCTTCCCACCCACCGTGAGCTTTTTTTCCTCCTACATGCCCCATGTCTCATGCATCATGTCTCATGCATCATGCCTCATGCACCATGTCCCATGCCCCATGTCCAATGTCCCATGCCCCCCATGCCCCATGCCTCATGCCTTCCACACCATTCGCCCTGCTCTTATCCCTTGCGTGCACTTGAGTCCCCTCCCCCCCCTCCCTCCCTCCCTCCCTCCCTCCCTCCTCTTTCCTCGGGCCTCCCTCCTCCTCCTCTCTCCTCCCCTCCACCTCCCCCCCTTCCCATGCATGCACCCTCGGGGGCCAGCAGGCGCCACTCACCTTCCACATGCCACAGCCTGCCGTCACGGCTCTCGCGCTCTACCTCATGCCGCCCCTCCATTCCGTCCCTGTAAGACCACCTTACCCACCCTATGCACGCCTTTCCACCCCATGCACACCTTTCCACCCCATGCACACCTTTCCACCCCATGCACACCTTTCCACCCCATGTGCGCTCGCCTTGCATCTGCTGTCAGTCAAACTGTTCACGCCCATCCCTCCCACATCTCTCTTCCACCCAATCGTTCCCTCTTCTCCCCTCCTGCCCTTCTGCCTTCAACCCCTCTCCCTGCGCCCATTCCTCACCCCTATCCACCCCTCCCATCCCTCCTACTGCGGGCCTCAAACCCCCCTTCCCTGCGGGCCTCCCTCTTCCCCCCACTTTACAGGACCACATGACACTCCCCCCTGCCTCTTCCCCCGACCCCTTCCCCCTCCTCCTCCCATACTTCCTCCTCTCCCCCTCCCCCTCTCACCCCCTCCCCTCACTCCACCCGTCCCCCTCTCCCCACCTCTCGTCCCAACCCCATGCCTCTATCCCCATCTACGCTCCCTCCGCCTCATCCCTCCCTGCTGCCACCGCCCCCTCTGCTGCCGGGCCTTCTTCCATTCTGGATGGCCCAGTGGGGATGGGCGGGGGGGCAGGGGTAGCTGTGAAGGAAGAGGGGTATTTTGTTGCGGGAACGGAGAAAGGGGGAGAGGACAAGGGGAGGGCGGACGGGGGGAGGGCAGGCGGGCAAGAGGTGGTGGGGGGAGTGAGCGGCACAAGGGAGGGGGACGAGGGGGCGCTCGAGAGGGCGGTGGCAGTGGGGGTGCAGGGGCAGAAGCAGCAGCAGGGGAGTGTGAGTGCGGCGGGGCACAAGGGGCAGCAGGGAGTGGCGAGGCAGCAGGGGAAGAAGCAGGTGCAGGTGAGGCAGCGACCCCTCACACAGCTGCAGCAGCGCAAAGAGGGCGAAGCAGGGGGAGACGGCTTGCGTGGGGAGAGAGAGGGGGAGGCGGAGGGGTGGGCGGAGGTGAGGAGGAGTGATGGGGACTCTGGTGAGCCGAGTGCGAGGCTATTGGCCGGGCAGAAGCAAGCAGGGCATGCAGCAGGGGGTGCAGGGCAGCACGGCGCAATGGCGGGTGATGGGGAGGGGAGACGGGCGGGGTGAGTGTTGCAAGGGTGGGGGGCGAAGGGGCGGGTGCAGGGATGCAGGGAGTGGGGGCACAGGATGGGGGGAAGGCGCAGCTGGGTCAGGGCAGTGGTGCATTGGGGGCAGGGGGGGTAGGTGAGGCAGCACAGCAAGCAGGGAGCTCAGGCGCGGGCAGAGGGGGGTTGGGCAGAGGAGGGCTGGGCAGAGGGCAAGGTATGAAAGGCGTGGGGGCGAAGGGAGGGGGCGAGGGGCGAGGACGTGGAGCAGGGGCAGGAAGGGGGCTGGGTGGGACGAAGGTGGGTGGCATGGGGAGGGGGGGCAAGGGGAAGCAGCAGGGGGAGGGGCGCGGGCAGAAAGGGAAGGCGTTGGGAGTGGGGGAGAGAGGGGGTGCTGGTGCGGAAGGGGAAGGGGCAACGCAGCAAGGCGCGTGGGGCGGGAAGCAAGGGCAGGGGGTGGCTGCAAGGGAGGCTGCATCAGCAGCTGGGGGAGGGGGAGGGAAGGCGGGCAGCAAGGATGGTGGCATGTTGGCTGCGTCTCCCTCCGCTGACCTCTCTTCCCAGGACGTGGCGGGTGGGATAGGCGAGGGAGAGGTGGAGGGGGGCGCGGAGCAGCAACGCATGGGTGGTGGGGGGATGGCCGGAGGGCAGAGGGGGGTGGGAGTTGCGATGAGTGCTGATGCGGGAGCAAGCAGTGTGGGTGGTGGGGGTGGTGGTGGTGAGGGAGGCAGTGTATTCAGCCTAGCAGTGGGAGCAGCCGCGGCAACAACAGCAGCAGGAGATGCTGCTGCTGTGGCTGGCAAGGTAAAGTCAAGCGCTCTGCTGTGGTATGTGTGTGGGCCGTGGCGTGCATGTCCAGTCTGTCATCAATGTCCCCAGCCCATGCAGTTTCCCTTCCATCCATTCTTCTCTACCCTCTATGCCCCTATGCCCTGTGTGCTCCCCATCCCTGCCAGCAACGCCGTCCATCCACTCACCGCAAGCCCAAGAACCCTCCTGCTTCCCCAAAGGTCACATGTGCGCCCTCTGCCAGCCCCGCCCTTCCACCTCGCCCGGCCGCTTCTGCTTCCTCCGACGCCACTGCTGCTGATGGTGCAGCATTGGCCACCGGTGAAACGGGAGGTGGGTGGTGCTGGGAGTCACTCTCTGCACTCTTTGCGTGTCACACGGCTGCTCCTCATCAATGCTCTCTCCATTCTGTGTGCCACTCCTGCGACATCTTCACTTGCCTCTGCACTGTTGCCATTGCCAAACAAGGCCCTTGCTCATGTGTGAAATCCGACACTGTTGTTGACCTCCCGTCCGCAACCTATCCCCTACTACTCCCCAACCTCTTCCCAACCTCTTCCCAACCTCTTCCCAACCTCTTCCCAACCTCTTCCCAACCTCTTCCCAACCTCTTCCCAATCTGTCTCCAACGACTCCCCAACCCCATGCTATCCCTCTTCTCTCCCCCCGCAGCCGCTGGCTCTCAGTCGGCTGCAATAACACCCTCGCTGCACCCGCACACCCGCGTGCTCGCTGGGGCGAGGAAGCAGGGGCAGGCAGAGGGGGGTGAAGTGGGGAGGCTGGAGACGGATGGTAGAGATGGGGAGGCGTGGGCGGAAGGCATGGGGCGGGTTGGGGGCGAGGTGGGAGGGAGGAGGGACGTGGCGGCGGGTGGCATGGGCAGGGAGGCGAAGAAGAAAGGCAGCAAGCGACAGTCGGTGAGTGGCAGCAGGCAGGGGGGCATTCTAGGTGATGCGCACAACTGTGGCTCCAGTTTATTCTCAACTGTAACTCCCTCTCATGCGAATGCTCTCAGTTTAACCCTTACTTTTCTCTCACATTCAAACTCTCGCTAATTCTGCCACACCCCTCCCTCCCCCTCCCACTCTCCAGTCCCCCCACCATCTGCCCTCACCGCCAGGAGCGCATGCCCTGCCGCCCGCCGCCACACCCTCGCAAGTGGAGGCAGCAGGCGCTCTCCCTCTGCCGCCCGCCCATGGCGATGTGCTGGGCGGGTCCCCTGGCAGCACTGACCTCGTTGCTGCATGCGCGCCTGGCAGCGATGTTGCTGATGATGCTGACGGTGTTGATGCCGCCCTGCCATGGTCTCCCATGGAGGAGCAGGTGCGTGCATGGGATGGCATAGCCGTGGTGTCACATGCCATGTAACCACCTTTCCTTGTTGTCCTCCCTCGCATCCCACGCGCCATTTGGTCACAATCTTCCAGTCACTGACCCCTCCCTGTGGTGTGCGCCACTGGCAGGTGCTGCTGGCAGTGGTGAGCGACCTAGTTTTTGAATGCCAAACCTCCCCTCGTGTGGTGTGCCGTGGTGGCAGGTGCTGGTGGCAGTGGTGAGCGACCTGGGTACCAACTGGCGGCTGGTCACCGATGTGCTGCTCTCCATCACGCACCTCACTGTGAGCCCGCCCTCTCCATCACGCACCTCACTGTGAGCCCGCCCTCTCCATCACGCACCTCACTGTGAGCCCGCCCTCTCCATCACGCACCTCACTGTGAGCCCGCCCTCTCCATCACGCACCTCACTGTGAGCCCGCCCTCTCCATCACGCACCTCACTGTGAGCCCGCCCTCTCCATCACGCACCTCACTGTGAGCCCGCCCTCTCCATCACGCACCTCACTGTGAGCCCGCCCTCTCCATCACGCACCTCACTGTGAGCCCGCCCTCTCCATCACGCACCTCACTGTGAGCCCGCCCTCTCCATCACGCACCTCACTGTGAGCCCGCCCTCTCCATCACGCACCTCACTGTGAGCCCGCCCTCTCCATCACGCACCTCACTGTGAGCCCGCCCTCTCCATCACGCACCTCACTGTGAGCCCGCCCTCTCCATCACGCACCTCACTGTGAGCCCGCCCTCTCCATCACGCACCTCACTGTGAGCCCGCCCTCTCCATCATGCACCTCACTGTGAGCCCGCCCTCTCCATCACGCACCTCACTGTGAGCCCGCCCTCTCCATCACGCACCTCACTGTGAGCCCGCCCTTTCCAGCACCTCTCATCAGTAACACTTTGTGTGTGGTGTAGTCTGTGTGATAATGCAAGTTGAGATTTTGACAAACCCACCCCACTGTGAGCCCTCCCACTCCATGCAGGCTCGTCCCCGGCCAGTCTTTGCTAATTGCTTTCACACACCACATGAGCCCAAGCTCTCCTCCGTTATGTGCCGCAATCGTATGTCCTCATAACCCCCTCACCAGGGCGTGTATCGCAGTCCCAGTCAGTGTGAGCGCCGTCACAGCGCCCTCCTCTCCTCACTCTCCGTCCCCTCCTCCGTGCAATCCAAGGTCAGTCGCATCCCCACCCTTAACTCCCCTTACCCTCCCGCCCGCTCCCCCCTCCTGCACCGCTCATTGCATGCTTCCCAGCCCTCCCGGGTGTGTTTCCGCCAATGATCTCCATTTGTGCAGCAACATCCTGTGCATCGTTAAGATATGCACCCATCGTCCCCTGTTGTGCTGTTTGGGTGGGCTGTGGGTTGGCAGGAGGCGGGGCGGGGCGGGGGACAGTGGGCGGGGGGCGAGGAGGACGTGCTGAGGGAGCATCGGCAGGCCGTGCTGACAATCTTCTCCAAACACCACGCTCGCATGCTGGCCGTGAGTCTAACATAGAAAGTTAGGCAAGCTGCACTTTAGAAAGCGTTTTTAGTGCATGCTGGCCCTGATTGTTTTCATTTTCGTGTCTTTGTCGGGGTGTCCGTGTGGGTGTGTGTGCGGGCACGCGCGCGTGCGTGTGTGTGTGAATGCATGTGTGCGTGCGTGTCGGTTTTGGCATGTGCATGCACATGCGTGGGGGAGCAGTTGGAGGCACAGGAGTTGAAGCAGCAGGTGCAGCCACACGCCTCTCATCTCCTCGTCCTCTCCAACGTCGCTGCCTCCTCGCCCTCCGCACCCATGCCGCCCAGGTGTGTATCACACGTCACTCCATTTTCTCCTCCCTCTACCCCTTCCCCAGTCCGTCATCACACCCCCATCACCGCCGTTTAACACATCCTCCCGTTTGGGTGCGCTGCGCCCACCCCGTGTGCTCCCTGTGTGGCGCCACAGCCCCTTGGATCTCAGCAGCAGCCCCCCTCTCCCACCAGTCGACGCACCCACCCTCGCTTCCACTACTGCTGCTGCTGCCACATATGCTGCCTCGGGAGCCACACTGCCAGCTGTCGCCAGTGCAATGGCATCAACAGCAGCGGCAGCAGCAGCGGCGGCAGTAGGGGTTGGCAGTGGTGCAGAGGGGGGAAGCGGTGCAGCAGTGGTATCAGCACCGTGCACAAACGGTGTCTCGCCATCAACCCAAACCCACACTCATGTGCCCCCTCACTCGCTCTCCTCTCACGCTTCCCTCTCCTCCCTGCCACACTTCCCCTCCTTCTCCCCTACGCTCCCTCACCCAGCCTTCCAATCCCCTTCACCTTCTCCCCACACCCCTCCCCTTCCCAGCAGACCCACTCCTCCTCCCACTCTCCCACTCCCCCACTCCATGCCCATTGCCTCCCCGCCCTCTCTCTCCACCACCCCCCCTCCTCCCGTCACGGGACCCATCCCCCAAGTCCCCTCAGCCCCCATGCAAGTGTCCTCTGCTGCCACTGCTGCCCCTACCATGGCTTCACCCACACCTGCTGCAATGGCTGCCACACTCACAGGCACTGCCACTGCACACTCTGCTTCTCCCTCCGCCCCTGCTGCCTCCCCCTCCCTCCATGCATCTTCCACTCTCCACACTGCCTCTGCTGCAGCTGCTCCCACTGCCACTGCTCCGTATGGTAACCAGTCGGCCATGGGACACAGTAACCAGACGGGCATGGCACATGGTAACCAGACGGCCATGGCACATGGTAACCAGACAACCATGGCACACAGTCATGGTGGGAGCATGTCACAAGCCTCTATGCATGGCCATGGCCGCTCATCTCCCCATGGGGTACCTCACGCCTATGCACCTCCACACACCCATCCACATCCCCATGCACACACATACAGCCATACATACACCCATGCGCACACCCATGCACACACCCATGCGCGCACGCATCCTCATGCCCATCCTCAACCCCATCCCCACATGCATGCCCACATGCAGCAGTCAGCACTGCCATTTCCCCAGTCCCCTGCACATGCACACCCACATGCCTCTGCCCTCCCACCATCGACCACACCCCACGCCCCCCCGTGCACAACTGCCCAGCCACATGCCCCCCCAAGGGCTCCTGCTTCCGGGGGCGTGGCGAAGGGGCTGGCAGCGCCAGGGGGGTCCGCAGGGGGACGCACCACAGGTGGCGGTGGGGGTCGGGGGGTCGGTGGGAGTGTGCAGGCGGGAAGAGGAAGGGGAGCGGAGGTGGCGGGGATTGCATCGTCGGGCAGCAAGGCAGCAGCGCCTCTCAGGTATGAGTTCATGGTTTTCCCTGTTATAGTACCATGACTTACTGTGAACACAGGTATGTCATATGTCTTGTGTGTCTCACACCAGATATTGATACCCTTCTGCCTTCTGGGGCACCATGCTCTTCTATTCCTCTGGCTATGTCTGCCTGCCTTTTCGCCCAGCAATGTCAGAAGTCACACTCGGGTGCTGCAGCACCGAGGGCCAGGCATGCGGCCACAGCAGCAGCAACAGCAGCAGCAGCAGGGGCATGGACAGCAGCAGCAACAGCAGCAGCAATGGCAGCAACAGCAGCAGGGGCATGGACAGCAGCAGCAACAGCAGCAGCAATGGCAGCAACAGCAGCAGCATCACCAGCACCAGCAGAAGCAGCAGCAGCAACAGCAGCAGCAGCAGAGACAACAGCAACAGCAGCAGCAGCAGCTGCAGCAGCAACAGCAGAGGCAACAACAACAGCAACAGCAGCAGCAGCAACAGAGGCAACAACAACAGCAACAGCAGCAGCAACCGTCGCAGCCGCAGCAGCAGCACCCCCATGGGAGTGGGCATTCTCAGCCCGCCAGCGGCTTTGCTCCATCTGTGTCTCCATCCGCACCACACCCACGTGCTGTGCCTGCCACGTCACCTCTTGTGCCGGCCACCCTACCTGCTGCTGCAAGTCAATGCTTGCCAGGCCTCCCGTCCCTGCCCACTCCTCCCTCTCTCCCTGCTCCTCCCTCTCTCCCCACTCCCCCCTCTCTCCCTACCCCCCCATCACTCCACACAGCACAGGCGGTGGGTGCCCTGCCTCATACCGCTCCCGCCCATGTTCCTGCCACACTCCCTGCCTCCTCTGCTCCTCCGCCCTCTTCCCTGCCCCCATCTCCCGTTACTGCTGTGCCTTCCACTGCCACCGTGTGTGCACCTGCTGCTGTGCCTGCCACTGCTGCCCCAGCCACTGCTGCCGTGCTTTCTACTGCTGCCCCGGCCACTGGCAACCGAACTGTGCCATTGGCCTCTGCTGTCGCCTCCTCCCAGCCGCCTTCTGTCGCCTCCTCCCAGTCACCCCTGGGTCGTGGAAGCAGCAGTCATGCGGCGAGTGCAGGAGGGGTGGGCAGAGGCAGGGGCGCGCCAGTCACAGGTGTGGCACGGACAGGGGGCACAGCTCCTGTGGCAGCTGCAGCACCAGCACCAGCAGCAGCAGCAGCAGCAGCTGCAGTGCATCCTGTCACATCTGCTCTAACCCCGGCAGCATCAGCATCAGCATCAGCTTCAGCAGGTGCAGGAACAGCAGCATGTAGCAGTGGGAGTGGAAGTGTGAGTCACTTGCCTCTGCAGCAACTGCCTGGCCACGTACCGTCAGGCAATGTGGCAACACATGCAGCAGCAGCAGCAGCAGCAGCAGCAGCAGCAGTGACAGCAGCGGGATCAGTAGCACACGCAACAGCAGGTGCAGTGAAAGCAGTGCCACACACAGCAGCAGGTGCAGGAAGGGGATACACAACTGCACAGCCAAGGTCACAGCAAGTCTTGCCGAGCCCTGCACTGCCAAGCCAAACAGTGCCAAGCCAAGCTGTACCGAGCCAAGCAATACCGAGCCAGGCACTGCCGAGCCAAGCAATACCGAGCCGAGCAGTACCTAGCCAAGCAGTACCGAGCCAAGTACCGAGCCAAGCAATGCCGAGCCGAGCAGTACCGAGCCAAGCAGTACCCAGCCAAGCAATACCGAGCCGAGCAGTACCGAGCCAAGTATTGGCGAGCCAAACAGTATCAAGGCAGGGTGTGGCGAGGCAAGGCATGGGAGGGGCATCAGTGGCAGGCGTGGTCCATGCAGCAAGTGGGCAGACCTCCATGCACCCCACGGTGTCACACCCACCTGCACTGCCACACACAGCCCTTGCTGCCACTGCTTCAATTCCTGCTCGTCCTGCTGCTACTGCTGCCAGTGCTGCTTACAGTTCTGTTGCCGCTACTGCTGCTAGTCCTGTTGCTAGTGCTGCAAATTCTGCTGCTACAGGTGGTGCTGCTGCTATTCCTGCTGGTGGTGGTGTTGCTGCTGGTCGTGCAGGTGTGGCAGGAGCAGGAACGGCAGGTGTGGCAGGAGCAGGAACGGCAGGAATGGCTAAAGCAGTGGGAGTTGGAGGGGGCGAGAGGGCAGGAGGAGTAGCAGCACACACGCGACATGTGGTGCTGCAGAATGGGCCGCAATCGCAATCGCAGCACACATACCCACAACAACCACACTCACAGCAACCACATGCAGCTTCGTCAGGCTTGGGAGCACCGACCACCACGGCACCAACCACAGCAGCACCAATCACAGCAGCACCAATCACAGCAGCACCAATCACAGCAGCACCAATCACAGCAGCACCAACCACAGCAGCACCAACCACACCAGCATCAACCACAGCAGCACCAACAACAGCAGCACCAACCACAGCAGCACCAATCACAGCAGCATCAGCAGTACCAGTCACAGGAGCACACACAATCGGGCCAGTGGTGGGCTCAGCAGCAGTATCAGGTGACTCCCAGGCACGCCCCGCGCATGCATCGCCAGCAGCAGACACAGCAGTGAGCCCAGGCTCTGCAGCACCAGCAGCAGGAGTGCCGTCTGTGGGAGCAGCAGCAGCGCCAACCCAGCAGTGACAGCAGCAGCGAGTGCCGCAACACCACAGGACATGCTCCTTCAGCAGTACATTAGGAATTTCAATTTGTGTAGAGACAGAGGGAGTTTGCTTCTGCAAGTGCAGTTTCATCAGCAAGCTTGCCCTGGAACAATGACAATAGGAACTTCTATAAGGGTTGTTTCTTTCCAGGTTGTGGGCAACTCGTTGGAAATTGATATATAGTATTTGTCTTAGGAATTCAAAATGGGCCAACATATTCTGAAATACCAGTTGTAGTTGCGTTACCGAACCGAGTTTTTGTACAGCGCAACTGCCCCTCACCTATCACGGGTGGCGGTACTGTCAAAGGCGCCCCCACCGCGCGGCTCCCCCATTATCAACCGCACTTCCCTCCCCTTCCCCCGCGTGCATTGCCCCCCTGCGCGCACCCTTATCCCCTCTCCCCTTTTCTCCCTCATCTCATCATCCCTCCACCTGTTCTCATCGCGACCCCCACCGAACTAACTCCTGCCCGCGTAGCGTCTCCACACCACCCATCCCTGAAATGGCGGGTGCTCTTGCCCTGCGCGTCCCCGTGGCGGCGGCAGCCGTGCCGGCCGCCGGCCTGACTCAACCCGCTGTACACTCCCTAAGGCGCGCCGCACTCGTGCCGCTGCGTGTACGTCAAGCCGCCTCACTCGCCGCGCAGCAGCAGGCGAAGCGCGGTTCCGTAGTAGCGCCGCGCAACGTGGCAATGGCTGATTCGCTGACGGCGGAGGAGGAGGGCGCGGCGCGGCAGTCGTACCCGGCGGGCGTGCATCGGTACGAGGCGATGGTGGTGATGCGACCCGACCTCACGGAGGACGAACGCGTCGCGCTCACCGAGCGATACGAAGAGGTGTGTCGCAGGGATGGAGGGACGCGACGAGGTGCGTCGCAGTTAGCCCTTCACGACCCGACCCTCTGTCGGTCATTCGCTTGTACGAACCCCGACTGTGCCGTGTTTCTTGCTTCTCTCCCTTCGCCCTCGCAATCTTCCCCTGTCTTCCCGCTCACTCTTCCCCGTGTATACGCACCCCTCTCGTGTGCACTCACCTCATGTGCACTCCCCTCATGCGCACTCCCCTCATGCGCACCTCCTTCATGCGCACTCCCCTCATGCGCACTTCCTTCATGCGCACTCCCCTCATGCGCACTTCCCTTCTGCGCACTACCCGCATCGGCACTCCCCTCAAGCACACGTCTCTCATGCATCCTTCCCCCCTTCTGCTCCCCCTCCCCCCTCCCCCCCCCACTTTCCGCACGTGCAGTTTCTCGTGGCGGGCGGCGCACTGGACGTGGAGATCTTCAACCGCGGCATGCAGCCTTTGGCGTATAGCATAAAGACAAAGAACATGGGCGGTGTGATGAGCCGCTACCTGGACGGCATCTTCTTCCTGTTCATCTTCGCCGCGCGCTCCGAAGCGCAGGTGAATCTGCAGCAGCGCCTCAACCGCGACGATGACGTCATCCGCTCCACCACCTTCCGCCTCAAGGCGTGACGCGCGCAAACCGCTGCAGGTAAGGCGCGGCCAGGGGAGGGGCGGGGAGGTGAGGGGAGGAGAGGAGGGGAGGTGAGACGAGGCGCGATGGGATGAGGGGAATATGCGAGGGGAAGAGAGGCCGATTGGAAACAGGAGTGTAAGTGGGAACAGAAAGTGAGTGGATTAGGCACACAGTAAGTGGAATAGTCACACGGTGAGTGGAATAGGCAGAGGGTGTTTGGAATAAGCATAGGGTGTTTGGAATAAGCATAGGGTGTTTGGAATAAGCATATCGAGTGAAACAGACAACGGTGGAGTGGAACAGAGAGTTTAAGCATTGATGAGGCAGCGGAGGGCAGGGTAGGGTAGGGCGAGTGGGGTAGGGCGAGTGGGGTCGCCCCCCTCCTCATGCCTGCAGGAGTGCATGATTGTTTTGCAGGGCTCTACATGTTGTGCTGTTGACATGGGGGCATTGTCATACCCATTTTGCTACTTGTCAATCATTCACTCCTGCATCTGATGCCTGTACCAGTAACAATCAAATCTGCTGTTTTTGCCTGGATCATTCTTGAAAACCTTGGCAGCTGAAGAATCAGATCCCGCTTGAGTTTCGTTTGAAGACCCCACCCTGCTCATTGTGTTTTCTTCTTTGAAAGGAAGTTGCTGCAATGCTTATCTTTAACAACTCACCTCACGTGCTTGGTTTTTGCTGTAGCATAGATAGTCAAAGACTACAATGTGAATATATGATATCACATCAACCCGAGAAACTATTTGCAGAAACTGCAGAAATTGCTAACAGGGCCAGATCAATAATGGCTTGCCCAGATCCAACGGTTCTCAGAACTGACTCGCTTTCGAAATATCACGGGTTTTTTGGCTGGTGATCTGTGACGAACAAACTTCAGGGGGGAGCACTCCCGTGCTTTATCAGGTGGTCAATTATATGCGCGGTGCCTTTTTATGCGGGTTCCATCGTGAGGGAGCACTCCCGTGCTCGCCCGCTCATGCACTCACCGCTCCGAGTTCATCGTCCCTTTCACCAACTGATGACACGATCCTCTGCCCTCCGAGTTAGCACGCCACATCATACCTTCCTCTACGTACCGTCTAACCCCGGATATAAGCGCCACGGCGCTTATAATAAAACATGTTTTTTTTGGGGTGGCGCTTGTAATTGAATAACGGGCATAAGCGCCGGCGCTTATATCATGGTAAAAATGAATTTGTTTTTTTTTTTTTGTATCAAATCGAAGCCCGTAATAAGGCGAACAAGATTGTGTAACGTGCGCGTGGCATCATGCATGAAAACCCGCCGAAAACTGCCGCGCTTCGCTTTCCAGCCGCACAAAGCCCGTCCAGGAGCAGCGCACCTGCCAGCGCTGACGTGAAAGATGCCTTGCGGCCCAATCAGGCTTTCATGCGCTGGGTGGCAGCTGCAATTCACCCGAACCATCTAGAAGCGGCTGGAATGCCCTGCCAGCGCAGCATCGTGCGTGGCGCGATACCCTCCTCTCCGGGTTCAGACAGGGGACACCCGTCTCTCCACGACGAGGACCCCGTGGCGCTAGCCAGAAGGGGTCCCTTTGAATCCTTCATTTGTTCATCCATTCATTCAGTTTCCCGTTCTTGGTTCTTGGCCACTCTCTCCCTGCTGCGGAAGCCATGGCGGAATTCAGCGGCACGCACTTCTTGTTCAATAAAAAGCCTACACGCAGGCCCGCGTTTAGAGTAGACGCAGACGGGTGGTACTTCCGTGTCCCACCATCACCACCATTGCCACCACAGCCTCCTGCGCCTCCTGCGCCTCCTGCTCCTCCTTCGCCTCCTGCACCTCCTGAGCCTCCTGTTCCTCCTGTTCCACAGTCTACTCAGGGTCCTGTGCCTCCGCTACACGCTGGAGCTGAGCCCGTGCTCACGCTGCTGCTCCCATCGGCGTTTGACGAATTCCTCTCCGATCCAGAGTCTGACAAGGCGCAAGATGAGGAGGTCGAAGTGGAGTACGTGCCTGGTTCACGGTGGGGACAGCCTGACGATTGCCCGTGGGACGATACTGCAGTCGGCGCCGACGATGATGTTGCTGAGGAAGCTGACGCTGACGTTGAGGAAGCGAGCGGCGCTTACGGCGGCGAGGGTGGCACGGAGGCGAGCGCCGGGGGCGGCGCCGAGGGCGGCTCCGCTGAAGATGTTTTTCCAGAAGGCGTTCCCGGCGACGATGCCGACGACGGCGTGGAGTATTGGTCTCGCGACGGCCTTCCCGAGACCTTGCCGATACCTTCCTATCCCCCGATCAATCGCAAGCGACCCCACCCCTCTACCCAGAACCGTGATGCCCGCCCCCCCTCTCCCAGGCACAAGCTCACCGACCACAAGAGGCATGGTTACACCGCCGCGGAGAAGTTGAAGTGGGTTGCCAAGCTTGCTTTGGCGGTGTCGGTGCGCCAATTGGCTCGCGAGAGCGGAATCCACCCCAAGTGCCTCACCAACTGGAAGCGGGCGTCTGAATTCCTCAAGGAAGTTCACTCCGCTCGGAAGCGCATGCACGGCCGCGGGCGAGCGTCGTGGTACCGGCCTATGGAGTTGAAGGTGTACGAGAAACTTCTCGAGTGGCGCCGCAAGGGAACCGCCGTATCAGTCGGCCGCCTGCAGGAGTGGTCGCGGGAGTACATGAGGCTGCTGTACCCGGTCAAGCCGTGGAAAGGAAGCCAGAGGTGGTCGCAGCGCTTTCGGCGTCGATGGAATCTGAGCGTCCGCATGAAGACCCGGGTTGCCCAGAAAACCGCCGCGCGTAAGAGTTACCCCGTGTACTTTGCCCTGTGATTTTTAAATTGTTGTACTAACACCCGCCATGTGTGTCCGTCCTCCCTTCCACCGCCCTTCAGATGTCGCCGAGCAGTGCAAGAGCTTCTGGAAGTTCGTGCGTGCCAAGCGTCGTGAGCGCGGCATCGACACCGCGTGGATCATCAACGCGGACCAGACGCCGCTCTGGCTGGAGATGCCCGCCACCACCACCGTGGATGAAACGGGTGTTCGCTCGGTGCCTATCAGGAGCGCGGGCTATCAGAAGCAGCGTGTGACCGTGATGTTGGCGTGCACGGCGGACGGATTGAAGCTGAAGCCGTGGATGTACTTCAAGCGCAAGACCGTGCCTAAGGGCAATTTCCCACCCGGTAAGTCAATACGGTAGGTGCACTGCTCGTTAACTGCGCCATGCTTCCGACTGCGAATTCTAACTGGTCAAACATGATTCCTGCAGATGTGGTTGTGGCTGCACAAGAGAACGGGTGGATGGATTCCGCGGGCGTCGTTCGCTGGCTTGAGGAGGGTGTGAAGCCTTTCTTGAAGCCCAAGTTCGGCAGACACGCCAAGAGCTCGATGCTGGTGCTGGACTCTTACCGCGGTCACCTCACCCAGGAAGTGAAGGACAAGCTCCGCGAGATGAACTGCGTGCCGGCAATCATCCCGTCGGGCTGTACGGCGGAGGTACAGCCGCTAGATGTCTCCATCAACAAGAGCTTTAAAGCGTCGGTCCGCCAGCAGTACCAGAGGTGGTTTGAGGCAGAAGGTCAAGAGCAGCTGACGGCAGCAGGTATGGAATGAGCACGGTATTGTGTTTACCCCCCCCCCTCCCCTTGTTTACGGTATCTTTTGTTGTTGGACTAACGGGTTTCCACCGTTCTCCCGTAATGTTTCAGGGAATTTGAAGAAGCCGCCTGCGGATGTCGTCCTGAGGTGGATATCTCAGGCCTGGAAGTCAGTGCCGGCCGAGCTGATAAAGCGATCCTTCCTCACCTGTGGCATCAGCAACGCGCTCGACGGCAGTGAGGACGGCCTCGCCATGGCGCACAGGCGGAGCCAGCTGACAGCGGAAGTGGATGTCGACGATGACATCATCGCTGATGGGTTTTTTGGGAACAACTGCCAGGAGCCCGAATCTGACGATGAGGAGACTTGTTAGGTAGAAGTGCTGTTGCTAGACTTGCTGTTTCGGGTCACTGATGTTGTAGCTGCTGTCTAGAAGTGTCATGTAAGTGATTTCAATGTAATTGTTTCTTAAAGACTTATAATAATTTCAAGGGTGGCGCTTATAATAAGTACAGAAATCTCAAGGGGGGCGCTTCTAATCGAGGTCCGGCCATAAGCGCCATTCTCCAGTTAGAGGCGCCGGCGCCTATAATCGGACGGCGCCTATATCCGGGGCGATACGGTATTGGGATTATCCATCGACCCACCTCCACTGTGCCACCTAGCTCATGTAGAATCCATGGCCAAATTCGCCGTCACCTTGAAATCAACCAGCACCCGTCAGACTGGCCAAATCTTTATTAAGGTTCCCGTCAAACCGTTGGCATGGTGTCTCGCGAGTAGTTCTACCAAATCCACCTACCAACGCGAACCAGCACAGGTTCCGGGGATCTACAAATCGAGCTAGGTAGCTGCGACCAGTAGATTGCTATGTGGTGGCGCGAGCAACAGCTTTGGCGAGGAGGGTATGGCCGAAAATGTGAGGAAACTGGAAGTTTCAGATGTTATCAGCGATGCTGACGCTTTGATAAGCACTCAGCTTTCCATGATTTATCCTCTTTGTTATAGTTTCCGAATGAAAATTAACTCAGTTCGAATTCTGTCCATGCAGGAACTTCCAATCGCGTTGGACTCTTCAACGGTTGCAGAGGACCCATTCAAGGAGTACTACGACAACGATATGGAAATCCTGGCTCGGGCTTATCCGAGATTGGGAATCAGGCCACCTGATGTAAGTCACGTCTTTTGACCTCCCCTTGAAAACCATGCAATCAGTGGCACCTTTCGAGATTGTTTACATGCCACCTGGTGAAAGAGATGTACCTATGTTCATGTAGTGCAGAATGCGAAGCGATGTGAAATTCAGAGGGACTATATCCGTGATTTGAAGGCATGCGTCAACGCTGCTGTCAAGTCTTACTCTTTGAAAATAATCGCAGGTAAGCATCCACCTGAAAGCTCTAGTTGATAAATTTTCCGCATCGACTAGTAATAATACTGTGTTACGTATGTCGCAGAGGCCACGCTTGAAGAAGAGAGGAATCTGAGGCAAAGTGCAGAAGGCAATGTATCGGTGAGAATAACCTTGCAAGGCCTCGTGATTTGTACTGCGTCCACGGTGGAGTTGGAGACGGCTGTGATGTTTCATGTGTCTCGTGCCGCCCCGCTCCACCCTTCCATCACCAGGAGCTGGAGGCACAAGTGGCGCAGCTGAAGGTAGAGAAGGAGCAGCTTCGCGCCCAGCTGCGGCTGCTGCAGTCCCACATCCACACGGTGAGTCAACAGCAATGGGATGAGTGCACAAATGCCGCTGCTACCTATGCGTAGCCTGCCGTGCACGTGTGCATGCGTACCCACACGCACGCCCAAAAGACACGTGCGTGTGTGTATGTGTGTGTAAGCCACACTCTTGCCTCAACTCGTCCAGTGCCTTCACTTGCCTTTCTGTCTGCCCTGCAGGTAGGCAACACAAGCTGAACAGCAGCGCAACACACTGATGAAGCACTTCTTCACTCTATTCAACTCAATGACGCACACACAATTGAGTGATTTCCCTTGCACCCCTCCTTCACTTTCGTTCCTTCCCACCCACCCTCTCCTTCCTCCCTCCGGCCCAATCTCCAATGTGTTCCTCATTTATTAATTATGTTTTTTCCATACCTTTTATTTCACATCACACATCTAACCCCCCCGACCTTGTCCCGCTCCCCTCACCTCCCATGGTCTGCTCTGCACCACGCCGATATCCCTGTCTGCAGCAGCGCCAACGGCATCTTTATTTTTCCCCTCCGTACCCTTTGTTTCTCATCCCTATCCACCTCAACCATGTCCTTTTCGCCTCACCCCCCAATGCCCAGCAGCTAGCTGCCACGTCTACTTCTGTATCTGCAACAGCAACGGCAACAGCAGCACCATCAGAGCCAACAGCAGCACCAGCAGCACCAGCAGCACCAGCAACGGCAGAAGCAGCACGTGGTAAGGGTGGTGCTGGCAGCGTGGCACTGCAACGTTGCAGGTCAGGGCCGTGGTGACATGGGGAGCACCCTTGCTGCCTTGTCTCACTCTATGCGCGACACCCCTTTTCAACCGCTTCACAACCCCCTCTCAACTGCTTCACACCCACACCGGTCAGGGTCGTGGTGACAAGGGCAGCACACCCTCACTGTCTGGTCTCGCTCGATGTAGGAAGGGCGTAGTGTTCAGTTGAATGTATTTCCCATGCCATAGATTGCTTGTAGCAAGAGAGAGGACTTTTGACTGGGGGCCTTTATTTTGTCACAAATTGATTTTTAAGTGAGTCAATGCAACAAGTTATCGTATCAGGTCAACTGCAAGCAACTGTGGGTGTAGGACATTTCAAGGAGAAATAAAGTGCAAGTTGTTGCTAAGAAAAAATACATTTGCTGAAGTTGTCAAATTGCTAGCCAACTGTCCCACGTAGTAACATGACACTCAAGAATCCATGTCTCACAAACAACACGTGCTGAAGCATTCAACGTTTGGGCTTCACCAATCCGAGCTTCAGTGGACACTCTGACACGACTACACTAAAGGTCATCGATCTAAAATGCATGCCAGAAGTTGTGAGATGAATCAGAGACCAGCCATGCATAGGCATGGTTAGGGAATATTGTCAGAGACGCAGGTGGTGGAGGGGGTTGCATAGAATCACGGATTTGCTGTGTAGCGCGTGGAGCAGCCACATCCGTCCATCCCTCCCCCGCGACTCCTCTGTGTTTTCGTGTGGAAGGAGAGCATGAGAGCAGGTGGGGGCAGGTGAGCAGGCACTGCAGCGCACGGGGCGGACAGGTTGGGGGTGGCAACAACGCAGGCAGGGGAGCAAGGGGAGCAGCGGCATCAGCACCTGGGGCGATGGGGGTGGTGGAGGTGGGAGCAATGGAGGTAGGATGGAGAGTGTGGGAGTGCGGACGTAGGGAAGGGCTGCATGGAGCATGCGAGCGTGGTGCAGTGGGAATGAGGAGGATTGGTGGCACCTATGCGGTGATGGGAGCAGGGAAGGCCTCCTGAGGCGCCTCAAAAGTGCTCCCTGCCGCGCTGCACCCTCCCCTGCCCACCTCCCCCCCTTTCCACCCTGACCTCCCCTCCCTGCCCCCACCTTGGTGCACCTCACCGACGACTGCGCCTCGCCCGTGGCGGCAGAGGACACTTTTGAGAATTCTCAAAAGTGATTTCCAGGACAGCGCCGCCCACCACCGTCACCCGTATCAAATCTCACGCTTGGCCGTTGCCAGCACTGCCTCTCTTCTCAACTGAGTCGCAGCGATCATGCCCCCCGCGCATGCCCCCTGGGACGAGCTGTAGAGTGCCTCGTTGAGAAATACTGGAAACTGGGGCAAGAAAAACGGGGAAGGGAGGGGGAGGGGAAGGGGTAATTTGGACTAATATTCCCTCTCTTCCCTGCCCACGAGAACCCCCCGCGAGGGAAGAGCCGTACCCAGCCTCATAGAGAAACTAGGAAGAAGGAGGGTTCAGGGGTCTAAGGGAAGGGAGGTTTCGCCACGCCCTGCTTGCCCCCACGCTTTGCCTCCCCCACCCGCCTCGCCCGCACGCACCTGGGGCACTTGTGTTGTGTGGACTTGCCCGACCCCGTCTAGCCGCACACCAGGCTGGCAGGGCTCCCCCCCCTGTACCCTTTTCCCCCACCGCATGCACCCTCCCCCCCACCCAAACGCACCTGGGGCACTTGTGTGGTTTGCCCGACCCATCTCGCCATACACAAGGGTGCCAAGGCCACCCCCATGCACCTCTCCCCCCAGACACCTCTCGCTCTGAGATGGTACCCATGCGGTAGAAGTGGACGTGAAAAATTCCCCACTGCTGCACTGCCCCGTGCTGGTGCCATTTCGCAGAGATGCCCCACGCCCACTCCTGCCGAGGGTGAAGATGGCGGCGGAGGGAAGGAGGCTGTTCTTGTGCGGTTCTGCCTCGTTTTACCCTATGCGCTGTACGTATCACCAATTGACTACATAGTATCTTCTTGTTGCCGATAACGACCAAGCTCTGCACTGGACACAGTACTTGGTGTCTGGGCGGCACGGGTGGCAATCGTACCTGCTGGCTGGGCGGGAAGAATAGAGGTCTCCAAAGATGGTGGCACGCGCGTTGGCAAGGCCACTCCACCCCGGGATCTGCGCGTTGCTGCACGCATGTACATTATGCTAGTGCGTTGAGCGGCTACGTACCTGCTGGCTGGGCGGCAGGGGGTAGAGGTCCCCAAAGATGGTGGCGCATGCGTTGGCGAGGCCGCTCCACCCCGGGATCTGCACCACCACGGTGCAGCGCGGGTCGGATTGGAGGTTGCGCGGGTGAAGGTGTGTTTGACTGCACTCTCACATCGTATCTGACCTGGCAGGGCATCTGAGCAGGCGAGAGAGGGTAGGGCTGTGACGCCAAGGACCACAGCAGCCCACCCCATGCAGACACCTCACGTCTCAAGGGACCCTACATCACAACACATCACAACACATCTTGCATAGCACAGTGACTCACCAGGCAAAAGACAGTTACAGCAACGGCCCATCCATTGCAGACCGAGAGGAACTTGATCAATGCAACTGGAATCACTGCAGCACCTTTCCAGGCACGTCCTTCCAACCCCCCTAACTGCTGCGGTGCCTGACACGTGGCGTGTCGCCATGCTGGCGAGCATTCCTAGTCAGCCGCGGTGTCGTCATCAAGGCAGGAGCACAAACTGCGAGAGATAGGGAGGGAAATGGGGAGGGAAGATGGGGAGGGAAGATGGGGAGGGGAAATAGGAACAGGAGATGGGAAGGGTAGATGGGGAGAGGGCAAATGGGGCAAAGTGCGGCAAGGTGAATGATCTGCTCCTCTCGCACCTCGTCCATGGGGAGAGGAAAGGCGTGCGGTGATGACGACAGGGGAGGGGCGATTACTCGCAGCACGCACAACGAGACAGCCACACACGAGCATCTGACACACGAGCATCTGACACACGAGCATCTGACACACGAGCATCTGACACACGAGCATTTGAGTGCAAGCGTGCTTAAACTTGGTGCAATATGGAGCGGGAAGGACGAGCCAGCACAGCAGCAACACGAGCACCGCTCGTCCTCGTCTCCTCCTCCACTCCCTTCCCCTCCTCGTCCTCGCCTCACCTGGTGGGCAGCGCAGGCACGGCGAGTGATGCAGCGCAGGGTGAGTGCCAAGTGCCACTGCTCCACTTGGAAGGCAGGGGAAAGCACAGCGCAGGCGGGGGCAGCAGAGGAGTGAGCGCAGTCATTGTGGCCGCGGAGAGGAGCGGGCAGAAAGATGGGGAAGCGGGAAAGGGGGTGGCGCCAGGGAACATGGGGTCTGGTGATGGGCGCCCGGGGGAAGAGGACGGGAAGGGCGGAGCAAGAGGCGGGTTCCACTAAGGAAGCATGCTTTGGTGGTGTGCCACAACACCATACATCCACCTTCCTTCTTCTTCCTCTCTCCTTCCCTCCTCCTGCCCACTCACACCCATCCCACGTCCATCCTCGCTCAACCACTCCTCGCCATCCCCTTTACTACTCAACTCCCCTTACACCTGAACTCATGCCCCCTTTAGCTCCATCCCTCCTCCCCACTCACGGCCATCAGCGTTGGTGGTGAAATCAACGAGCGGCCTCAAGGGGTACCCTTGCGGCAGCGGTGCGAGCGGGGCATGATGGAGCAGAGATGCGCTGCGCGTGCTGCGCCTGCTCCACCAGGCTGCGCACTGCTACCACAGCGCTGGGCCGGCAGCCCGTGGGCGCTCGTGGCGCTCTCCACTCCTCCAGACACAGGTGAGCGGAAGAGATCCGAGCGTGTGGCGGACACTGGAAGTGATGGGAAGGGGGAGGGGAGAGGGGAATGGGGAGTGAGAAGGTGGGGAGTGAGAGGAAAGGCTGTAAGGCCAGGCACTCCAACCCGTGGCATGATGGAGCAGAGCAGCGCAGAGCAGAGCTGTACGTACTGCGATGCCTGCTCCACCTGGTTGCGCACTGCCACTGCTGGGGCGGGTAGGCCGTGGGCGCTCGTGGCACTCTCCACTCCCCCTGAGACTGGCGAGCGGAAGAGGCCTGAACACGTGGCGGAGACTGGAGAGAGGGGGGGAATGCGGGAACGGGTGTGAGAGGGGAAGCGTGAGAAAGGGTGAAGTGTGTGGGGAAAAGGGGAGGGTGAGCGGGAGGAAGGTGCGAGAGGGGAAGGGTGCGAGGGGCGAAGGGTGTGGGGTACGTATTCTGGCGAATCAAACGGACAGCCCGTGGGATGCATGTGGGGAGGGGAGAAGGGCAGAAGGAGGGGAGGAAAAGAAAGCTACCTCGCTCACCCGCCCTTCGCTCACCACTGCCACTCACCCGCCTCCACTCTCCCACCGCCACTCACCCGCTCTCACCATCCCCACTCACCCGCCCTCACTGCGCTATCCCCCGCAGCAGTCACCAGCGGCGCTGCCCCCGCGTCCGCCTCCCCCGCGCCCCCTGCAGCGCGCCACACCCTCCGCCTGCTGGGGGGAGCGCGCGCTGCGCTTGACGGAGTGGCGCAGCAGTCGGTGCGGAAAGGGGACGCGGCAGCTAGCGAGTGGGCGGAGGAGAGTAGACGCGCGCGGGGCGAGGGTATTCTGGAATCGAATGGGAGAGGGGGGGGGATGGCGAAGGGGGGAAGGAACGAGAACAGGGAGGGGAGGGGATGGGAGAGGAAGCAGGGAACAGGAGGCAGGGAGAGGGACGGACGAGAGAATGGAGAGACGGGGGGAATGAGGAGTCGGAATCAAGTGGGGAAAAAATGAGGTCAGAAGGAGGACATGAGTAGGTGATTCGGAAAATGCGGGGGGGAGTGTAGCCGCTCTTGTTCTGAAGAAGCGTTGCGTGGTTGTTCATATCGCAGCAGCGTATGCGGCCTACACCGCGTGTGAAGAAGACAGTTCCAACCTGCCTCAGGTGGCACTGCCTCAGGTGGCACTGCCTCGGGTGGGATGTGCGTGTGCATCCAGCAGGAGCCTGTACTGCTTCACACCCACGCCCCCTCCGCCCTTCCACGACTATCTGCCTCATCTGCCAGTATCTATTCACCTCCCGCACCGCACACATCCTAATGCCCCCCTAGTACACTCTCACCTCTTTCCCCTTGCAGCAGGAGCAGGAGGCGGAGGAGAGTGGGGCAGTGGGGCAGCAGGAGCAGCAGGAGCAGCAGGTGGAGGGGGAGGCGAGGGCGGTGGGGGGGCAAGGGAGCGTTTCAATGGTGATTGATTCGGCTGACGGCTCCACGCAGGACGAGGTGAGCCAAGGGGCGAGGGGGCGAGGGGGTGGGGGTGGGCGTGACGTGAGGAAGGTGGCGAGGCTGACGGGAGGCGGTGCTGCTGCCGGGAGTGTGAGGCGACTGCCTCTCTCTGTGAGGCTCAGCAATCTGAGGTGGGCGCCCCAACTAGTGGGTGTGGGGGGGGGGGGGGGGGGGGGGAGGGGAGAAGGGGGTGGGAGACGTGCGAAAGTGTATGAGACCTGGAAACCGTGATCTTAGTGACATCACCAAAACACTGTATAGTCCAAACACTGATCCAACTCAGGATCGATCACCAAATTGTTCAGAGGTAACGCGTCCTAACTTGCCTCTGAGGTTGCTTTTCCGCCCCGCGCTGAAACTCACGCCCTTCTGTCGGCTCTTCCCCAAGCGCAACCCCGTGACAAATTTGTTCGAATTGGTCAGAATTCGCCAGCAGATTCTCCAACCCTCGCTCCAGTGATGGTTGGACTGTTCGCCAACCAATCAAACCAACCTAAAGGGTGTGCATAACCAATGCCCCAAATAACCACCCCCAGGAATGTGCATCGACGCTTTAAACTTCTATTTGCCCCATCTGCTAGTATTCTTTCACTTACAACCCCAGGCCACACACATCTTTTACGCCATTCCCTTTGCCCACACACATCCCTTCGACTCATCCCCTCTCTTCTCTCTCTCATCCTGTTGTTTCTCCCTCCCTCTATTGTTGTCCAGGCAGCGGAGGGGTGTGTGTGGGCGGCAGCAGCGAGGCAGCAGGAGCAGGGGGAGGGGGAGGGGAGTAGGGTGGCGGAGCAGGAGAGGGACATGATGGAGGAGCACCACCACCCACAGGGCGAGGTGAGCCAAGAAAATGCGAGGGGCGAGGGGGTGGTGGTAGGCGCGAGGCAGTGAGGAGGGCGTGCGGAATTACAGGGGTAAGCCAGGAGGCCGTGGGCCTGTATGGGGCTTGTGCGGAAGCAGTGCTCTGCCGCCCCGGCAAGGTCAGGCAGGCAGGCCGAGGCCACCGAGTGACGGTGGGAGGGAGGCCTGCGCCCAGATTCGCAGCTGTTGCACTTCTACCCGCGTTGAGATGCAGTGAGTGAGATGCAGTGAGTGAGATGCAGTGAGTGAGATGCAGTGAGTGAGATGCAGTGAGTGAGATGCAGTGAGTGAGATGCAGTGAGTGAGATGCAGTGAGTGAGATGCAGTGAGTGAGATGCAGTGAGTGAGATGCAGTGAGTGAGATGCTGTGAGTGAGATGCCGTGAGATGCAGTGAGTGAGATGCAGTGAGTGAGATGCAGTGAGTGAGATGCAGTGAGTGAGATGCAGTGAGTGAGATGCCGCGAGTGAGATGCCGTGAGTGAGATGCAGTGAGTGAGATGCAGTGGGTGAGAGGCAGTGGGTGAGAGGCAGTGGGTGAGAGGCAGTGGGTGAGAGGCAGCGGGTGAGATGCAGGGTGTGAGTGGCAGCGAGGCGAGTTGCAGGTCGGTGGTGGCTATCTTGAAAGTGGGGACTGCATGGCTGCAAGCTGCTTCTGCACGAATGCGGCTCCGCCCTCCTGTGCACGAACGTGGTACAGGTAGGCCCTCCTTGCTCTAGAGCACACCTGCGGGGAGGCCTTCTGATTGCACCTGCGAGTCAGCTCGGCCCCACATTGGCGCGGGTGTGCTGTGTGGGAGGCCCAGTGCTGAGAGCCTGTTGGTGTCGTGGTTGAAGGCTGCTGTGCAGTCGCCCGGGTGTCCGACGAAGGTAACGCCATCAGCATATGTCACGTAGAGCACGTTGGGGTGGGCAGCGGCGGTGGCGGAAAGGGCGGGGTGGATTCCGGCTGCGAAAAGGAGGAAACCCTATGCAACGCCCCTCTCGCTAAGTAATGAACCGACTCTTTTCATGCACCGACTCCGCTTCGCAGCCCCGCGCACCACCACGCACCACCTACTGCCAAGCGGCACACCACCTGCCGTGAGCCTGACGGCACTGCGCCGTGCGCCTGGCAGCATCGGGCCATGGGCTTTGCGGCACAGGGCCATCTTTTGTCTGTGCGAATACTCTTTCTCATACCTCGTCTCCATTACCTCCCTTCCGTCTGATCCCGCCATCTCTTCAGATGTTGCAACAAGCTGGCACAACACCAGGAGAAGTGGCAGCAGCAGCAGCAGCAGCAGCAGCAACAACAACAACAGTAGAAGCGGCAGCAGCAGCAACAACAGCAGAAGTGGCAGCAGCAACAGCAGCCAGCCCTGTCCCTCTCATGCCACCACCTATTCTTACAGCAACCACAACAGAAGAAGCAGCAACAGTAGCAGCAGCAATAGCACCAGCAGCAGAAGTTGCAGAAGGAGCGAGATCAGCAGCAGAAGTAGCAACATCAACAGCAACAGAAGCAGCAGCAACAGCAGCAGCAGCAGCAGTGACAGCAGCAGCAGCAGCATTAGAAGAGCGACTGCAGCAGCAGCTGGAAAGACGTCTGGTCGAGATGGAGAATCGATTCGAGTCTGTGTTGGCAGTCCGAGCACCAGCCGTTCTGGCAGCCTGTGCGCCTGCAGGTGCGCCTGCCGCAGCAGCAGCAGCAGCAGCAGTAGCAGCAGCAACACCAGCAGCAGCAGCAGCAGCAGCAGCCGCAGCAACACCAGCAGCAGCCGCAGCAGCATCAGCAGCAGCAGCAGCAGCAGCAGCAGCAGCAGCAGCAGCAGGAGGAGGAGCAACAGCAGCAACATGCAGAATTGGGAGGCAGAGGAAGAGGGAGTGGAAGAAGGGAGAGGTGTAGGGGAGAGGGATGGACAAGAGGAGGGAGAGGAGGAGAGAATGGAAGGAGGAAGAGCAGGACGGGCGAGGGAAGGGATGAGCCAGGAGCTGCAGGGGCAGTCAGCAGCAAGAACAAGGGAGATTGGTAAAAAGTATTTTGGAGTAAGAATCAGAGAAAACGGTGTTATCTCGGTGGAGATATCATTGTATAACCCAAGGAGGCCGTGCCATGGGGGCAACTTTTGGACTCGAGAAGTGGCGGGGTCCTGGGCAGTCCTCAAGAAAGTGTTGAACACGGAGGCGCCTAAGGACAGTTTGGAGGTACAGAAGCTGAAGGAAGATAAGTCCGTGTCCCTCTTCTTAACAGGGGAGGAGGTCGACTTTGTACTGAAGAACAGGCTCGTCTTGGGGGGCTGGTGGGACCATGTTAGCGATAGAGACCTAACAACGCAAGACGACCGGGAAAGGTGGGGGGACCCGGAGCGCTTGCCGGAGAAGGTGAGGGAGTTGACGGATTCTGAGTTTCTTACGAATATATGGAGGCGGGCAGGAGACAGTGCAGAGGGTTGCGCTCGTGGATCCGCAGTGACAGCAAGGATGAGAGGGAAGAAGCAGGGGCAGGGGGAAAGGGAGGGGCAGGCGGAGTGGGAGGGGCAGGCGGAGGGGGAGGGGCAGGTGGAGGGGGAGGGGCAGGTGGAGGGGGAGGGGCAGGCGGAGGGGGAGGGGCAGACGGAGGGGAGGGGCAGGCGGGGGAGGGGCAGGCGAAGGGGGTGATAATCCCACCTACTTGGATCTAGATGTGGCTCACAGCAGTGTGATCGCTTGTCTCTTGTGTTTGGCTGTGCCCTTTTTTGGAGTGACGGAGTATCTGTGGTTTCTTCCTTTTTTTCACAAGTGGATATTGCCAGGGGAAAGTTGATGTTCATAGCACCTGGTAGTCCAGGGCCACTATCAAAGACGATTCCCCTCTTGGGCTCCCTGACCTGGGTGGAGTAGGGTGCTCAGCTTGAAGGTTCAAGTAGGGTAAATATTTTACGTGCAGATAATGCCACATGCATTACAGATTGATCAACATTGTAGTGTATGGCCGCCATGCAGTCAATATACGTACATCATACTGATCCAGTAAGATGTGTTTACGTCACGTAACGTGACTCACGCTGTTGTTAGCATAGCATGTATCCGGCCGGTACCGTATTCTCCCGGACAAAACTGTCAAGAATAATAGTGTTGGTTTGATTAAGGTTGGTTGGGGTACATAAACCTAACCCTAATAGTTGTACCCCCTATAACACACATCCCGAAGACTACAACATTTGACACACCCCCATAGCGAGGGGTGTTAAGCAAAAACCAAAAGTGTACGATCACAAGACCAGTCACAAAGAAACAAAGCTCAGGGTGGATCACAACGTCACCACACACCTCGAGCACAAGCAAAAGAGCCACAAGGTTGGTTCAAGAGTTCACAATTGTATATGTAAATTGTACAAACAAAGCAAGGAGAGAACTCAAGACTATGCAAGGCGAGAACCTGTGTCAACGAGACCATTTGCACACAACACCTCTAGTGGTTACAAGGCGGCAGGGCCTTGGTGAAGATGTTTGCAGTGTTGGCCTTGGACTCAACAAAGTCGAAGCGAGCCTGTCCACGCCTCAACAGCTCTCGCAGAAGAAAGTACCTGACGTTAATGTGCTTCACTCTGCTCTCCAGTCGCGACTCTCGACAGAGGAGAATCGTCGCCTTGTTATCAGTAAACAAGGTCGGCGCAGAGCTCGGCCGCTCACCAAGGTCAGTGAGCAAGAACGTCAGCCAGCGCAGCTCATGTGCAGCCATAGCTCTAGCGTAGATCTCGACCTCTACTACGGTGCGCTTAGAGAGTGTGGCGGTGCACTTAGAGAGTGTGGTTGTGCGCTTGAAGAGAGAGGCCGTGCGCTTAAAGAGTGGGGCAGTGCGCTTAGAGAGTGTGGCAGTGCGCTTAGAGAGTGTGGCGGTTCGCTTGAGAGTGTGGCAGTGCGCTTGGAGAGTGTGACGCTGTGCTTACGGTGTGCTTAGAGAGTGTGGTGGTGAGCTTGAGTGTGTGGCGGAAGGCTTAGAGAGTGTGGAGGTACGCTTAAAGAGCGTGGCTGTGCGCTTAAAGAGTAAGGCGGTGGGTGCGCTTAAAGAGTAGGGAGTTGCGCTTGAGAGTTTGGAGGTGCTCTTGAGAGAGTTTGGCAGTGCGCTTGGAGAGGTGGCGGTGTGCTTGAGAGTGTGGCGGTGCGCTTAGAGAGTGCGGCGGTGTCCGTAGAGTGTGCGGCGGTGCACTTGAGAGTGTAGCGGTGCGCTTGGAGAGTGTGGCGGTGCGCTTAAGAGTGTGGCGGTGCGCTTGGAGAGTGTGGAGCGTTTAGAGAGTGTGGCGATGCGCTTGAGAGTGGGGCGGTGCGCATGAAGAGTGGCGGTGTGCTTAAAGAGTGTGGCGATTCGCTTGAGAGTGTGGCGCCTAGAGAGTGTGGCAGTGCGCTTTAAAAGTGTAGCGGTGCGCTTAGAGGGTGTGGCGATCTGCTTGAGAGTGTGGCAGTGCGCTTGGAGAGTATGGCGGTGTGCTTGAGAGTGTGGCGGTGCGCTTAGTGAGTGGTGCGGCGCACTTGAGAGTGTGGCGGTAGGCTTAGAGAGTGTGGCGGTGCGCTTAGAGAGTGTGGTGGTGCGCTTAGAGAGTGTGGCGGTGCGCTTAGAGAGTGTGGCGGTGCGCTTAGAGAGTGTGGCTGTGCACTTAAAGAGTGTGGCGGTGCGCTCGAAGAGAGAGGCGGTGCGCTTTAAGAGTGGGGCAGTGCGCTTAGAGAATGTGGCGGTGCGCTTGAGAGTGTGGCGGTGCTCTTGGAGAGTGTGACGGTGTGCTGAAGAGGGGCGGTGGGCATGAGTGTGTGGCGGTAGGCATAGAGGGTGTGGCGGTACAATAAAAGAGTGTGGCGGTGGGCATGAGTGTGTCGCTGCCCTTAGAAAGTGTGGCGGTGCACTTAGTGAGTGCGGCAGTGCGCTTGAGATTGTGGCGGTAGTGTGGCGGTGTGCTTAAGAGTGTGGTGGTACGCTTAGTGAGTGTGGTTAAGAGTGGGGCGGTGCACTTATAGCGTGGAGCGGTGCGCTTGAGAGTGTGGCGGTAGGCTTAAAGAGTGTGGCGATGCGCTTAGAGAGCGTGGTGGTGCGCTTAAAGAGTAAGGCGGTGCGCATAAAGAGTGTGTTGGTGCGCTTGGAGAGTGTGGCGGTGCACTGAGAGAGTGTGGAGGTGCGCTTGAAAGTGTGGCGGTTTGTTGAGAGACTGTGGCGATGAGCTCGTAAAGAGAAGCAGTGTGCTTAGAGAGTGTGGCCACGGGAAAGGGTAACTGACAAAAGCGGCCGCCAAAAAGGGCAAAAAAACATTTTACCCTGATATCGAGAGCTCTCGAGGGGACTTCCTACAAATGCTTGGGTAGACATGAAGGCGGCAGTAAAATTTTAAGACCCGGGTTTACACATCTATCAACTATCAATCTGTTATACAGGGTGTACGGCTTAATTTGGGGCAAGGGGGTTTACGAAAAACCGCCTTCGCGCAAGCGGCGCGTCAGATCTGTGTCAGAAGTCGAGTTTGACACAAATGAAGTGTGGCAGTGCGCTTAGAGAGTGAGGCGGTGCGCATGAGAGTGTGGAGTTGCGCTTAAGAGTGTGGCGGTGCGCTTAAGAGTATGGCGGTGCGCTTGAGAGTGTGGCGGTGCGTTTGGAGGGTGTGGCGGTGCCCATGAGTGGCGCGTAAAGATTGTGTTGGTGCACTTAGAGAGTGGGGCGGTGTGCATGAGAGTGTGGAGTTGCGCTTAAGAGTGTGGCGGTGCGCTTGAGAGTGTGGCGGTGCGCTTGGAGAGTGTGGCGGGTTGCTTACGAGTGGGGCGGTGCGCTTAGAGATTGTGGCGGCGCACTTAGAGAGTGGTGGTGCGTATGAGAATGTGGCGGTGCGCTTGAGAGTGTGACGGTCTGCTTAGAGAGTGTGGCGGTGCGCTAGAGTGTGGTGGTGCGCATGAAAGTGTGGCGGTGCACATGAGAGTGTGGCGGTGCGCTTGAGGAGTGTGGCGGTGCACTTTGAGAATGTGGTGGTACGTATGAGAGTGTGGCGGTGCGCTTGGAGAGTGTGATGATGCGCTTAAGAGTGTGGCGATGCATTAGAGAGTGAGAGTCTGCGGTGCTCTTAAGAGTGTGGCGCTGCGCTTGAAAGTGTGGCGGTGTGCTTAGAGAGTGTGGAAGTTCGCTTTAGTTTGTGGCGATGCGCTTGAGTTTGTGGCGGTGCGCTTTTAGACTGCGCCGGTGAGCTTAAAGAGTGCAGCGGTGCACCAAGAAAGGGTGGCAGTGCGCTTAGAGAGTGGAGCAGTGCGCATAGAGAGTGTGGCGGTGCGCTTGAAAGAGTGGCGGTGCGCTTAGAGAGTGCGGTGATGTACTTAGAGAATGTGACGGTGCACTTGCGAGTGTGCCGGTGCGCTTGGAGAGGGGCGGTGTGTTTTGGAGTGTGTGGCGGTGCGCTTAATGAGTGTGGGGTGCGCTTATTGAGTGTGGGGTGCGCTTGAGAGTGTGGGATGCGCTTGAGAGTGCGGCGGTGCACTTGGAAAGTGGGGCTATGCGCTTAACAGTGTGGCGGTGCGCTTAGAGAGCGTGGTGGTGCGCTTGACAGTGTGGCGGTGTGCTTGTGGAGGGTGGCGGCGTGCTTGTGGAGTGTGGCGGTTCGCTTAGTGAGTGTGGCGATGTGCTTGAGAGTGGCAGTGTGCTTGCGAGTGTAGTGGTGCGTCTATAGAGTGAGGCAGTGCGGTTGAGAGTGTGGCGGTGCGCTAAGAGAGCGACACGTTGTCCTTAGAGAGTGGGGCGGTGCGCTTAGCGAGTGTGGCGGTGCGCTTGGAGAGTGTGGCGATGCGATTAGGAAGTGTGGCGGTGCGCTTAGTGAGTGTGGTGGTGCTCGTAGAGAGTGTGGCCGTGCGCTTAGAGAGAATGGTGGTGCGCTTAGAGAGTGAGGCGGTTAGGGAGTAAGGCGGAGCAGTTTGAGAGTGGGGCGGTGCGCTTGAGAGTGGCAGTGCGCTTAAAGAGTGTGGCGGTGTGCTTAGAGAGTGTGGTGGTG